AATTTTTTTCTTTCATGAAATTTAAATTTAATTGTCAAAAAAAAAAGAATGGATGAATTGTTTAATTGAGACAAAAAAGAATGGAAAAGCACTTTCGTTTTCGATTTGATATTCTTTAGAAAACGATCAATTGGAAATCATTTTTTATCGAGAGATAATCGATTCAATGATTGTGAAAGGAAAAAAATCACCTTTTCTTTGAACTAATTAACTAGTTTTGTTTTTCAAGTTTCTTTAAACTGATTAATTAGGATAATTATTAATAGAGAAAAAATAATTGCAATATAGTAAAAAAAACTATTTCAAGTCATTTAGTTTACCATGAACTTGAATTCATTTTGTTTAAATGCATGAAATTTTTAAGTGGATCTTGCAATTGAATTGTGAACTGTTCAACTTTATGATAAGAATAGGAAATGATTTTGCATAATTTGTTACTGTAACAAAAAAATATGTTAATATATTATAAAACTTTATTTAGGAAACAATTTAGCAGTATTTGGTAAAGCACTTTTGAGATCTTTCAGGCACTGTTGAAGTTCTAAATTCTGTAAATTAAGTGTTGTAGAAAAGCCTAAGTGTCCTTCACCAATTAAAATTTCCGTATTTTGTGGGTCAATACCACATGATGCTGCCAAACGAATGCCCTCACTGTATGTCAGTTCCTCAATTTGCTTTCTCATTTCTGGCCACATCATTTCAGTTATCATTCCTGAAATTCCCATACTACTACTTCCTTATTTACTATTATTAATACATATCTATCTAATTTAATAATGCCATTTATAAGATCAAAACATCAGAAATAGTTGAAAAAGAACGGTTAAAATATCAGAAAAAAGATTGAGATGAAAGAAAATTATAATTTGCCGATAATGATTGTCATATATGGATAAAATTAGGTTAATTTTCTTCTAATATAATACTTCTGAAGAATTTTTATTCATTTAACTATTATCGATTATCCTAATGACAATTAGATTTTATAACGATAAAAATTAAAATAAATAATCATTTACCTTTTATTAGATCCTGAACAAAAAATGACCAGGAAGGAGGAAAGGCACCACTTTCCATTACTACATTTGTGTCCAATAGTTGTACTAATGTCCGTAAAGTACCCGAATCAATAACGGGCCGTAATTCAGCCGTAACAGATAGAAACATGGATACAAATAGAGATGTAACATTTTTATCTGGATTCACCACACGTAAATTGAGCCTATCACGTCTTGAAAGAGAAAAAGGACTTTTAATTTGAAAATTAAATATAAATTGTAGCTTTAATTAATGTATAGCGATGCGAAAATTTTACTACACATTTAGATTTGAGTTTAAGTAAAAATTTAACTTCAATCTTCTAAATTTTTCCTTTGAATTATCTTGAAAAAAAAAACTTACTTTTCCAAGACAACAGTACCGTTTGTAGCTGTCAAAATAGGTGATCCATTAGCCCAAACATTTAACAAGAAGTAGCAAGAGGTGCAAAGAGTTGAGAGAAATTCTCGAGAAGAAAGAGGTATCACAGGACTTGTTACTGCAATCGTTTCTTCCATCCATTGAAAATTCCAATCAATCTGCAAACAAATTAAAAATCAATCTGCAAATAATTTAAATTCATTTTTCAAGACTACCTTTAAGTTGAAATCATGAAATGGCTCAATTTAACTTTTAACTCATTACCATTACAATAAATTTGCTTGGAATAGAGATATCAATTGAAATTTTTAATGTATTTTCAAACATTGTAAATCCATTATCGACTTTAATTGAATGCAGTATTAGTTACAAATTCCTTAATTGCTACAATCAAGAAATTTATTAAACTATTTGATTTCTTGAAATTTTTTAATACAAGCACCAATTGTTAGATATTTAAAAGGTTAATATGAAAGAACCTGATTGAGGAAATCATTGAGTGCAGTATCATCAATCCAAGTTATTATCCGATCTTCGTTATTCCATTTCACACTTACATTTGCATGTGAAATTTCATCATTTTCAAATGGATGCTTCCATTTAATTTGTGTTACAATTAAAATGTGCTTTTCTTCCACTGTTATTGATGTTAAACGATAAAATAAGGAAGAATCAACCGTACTGATAATATCACGAATATGAGTTGGCAGAATTTCATTTAATGATACATTCCTGAATCTTTTAAAATTTAAGAATAATTTTTTTTCATTTTATGAATGCTATGTTGATAGTAAAATGAATGACTGTTATAAGAAAAACCATTAATGTGCTAACATGATAACAGGATTTTCGATATTCGAAATGTAGTTGGAAATAGATGGACAAATAAGCTGCTGAAGATGTGATCGGATCGGATTTGTTGCCATATATAACAACGTCCCTATCATCCAATAATTGCTTGATGTAGCATTAACGGTTGTATCACGCAACGAACATGATAACATTCGAGCATTTTTCTCTTCAATTCTTACGGCTAATTCAACATCACCCACCTGAAATTTATTGATTAAAATTCCCGATGCAGCAAAAGAAGTAGAAAACTTTACCATTATAATTAAATAATATAACAAAAGAAAAATGTAAGTTTAGAAATTGAAGATGATCGAAATGACACTAGGACTGATAATCAGTAAGTAGTAGTTATGAAATGATACAATAAACAATCATAAAACAACTTACATAAATGGTAAGATCGATTGTTTCATCTCCAAAGCTAACTGGCCAAATATTTGGAGTAATATTCGATTTGGAATTTATCCTAACACTGTTTGCTTTTAACCGTATCGTATCCGGATAAAATTTAACAGTGACATTTGAATATGAAATTCGATTATATGTTTTAATATAAGCAAGAGGTAGCAGAAGAGGCTTTCGATGTGTCCGGAACGATAAATATAGCGAACGTGATGAGCTAAGTAATTGATGAGTTGCTTCACGAATAATTTGTGAAGCGGCACCGGATCCAATATCAAGTGATACATCTGATGCTGTTATCAATGCATATTTCATATACAGTAATTGAATAGAAAAAGCTAAATGAACAGGTAAGAGGTATTGCATGACGTGCACTCCATCTAAGCGCCACCACCACCTCCTCAACAGCATTAGTCATTGGAAGAACAAGTTCTTGAAGGACATCCCCGATTTTCCCTGTTGTTATTGATGATTGAGCAAGGAGACACCCACCAAAATACATCCTCCCATTTAGTACATATATGCACATTTATTTTGTATCTTTCCCTTACTACAACATCAATTTCATGGCCTTCACGTGTGCCGTTTTCGTACTCCTTCTTATTTACAACATTCTTTCCTCTGCACGTATAGATTTACATCCCCTTTTGCAGGTATTTTTTTTTTCATCTTTTTTTTTGTTTCTGTCACATTTTTATCTAATTTTACAATTCAA